GAAACCGTGTGAGAGAGAGAAGAAACCGTGTGCTGACCCTATCGGACCGAAGAAACCGCCCTTATCAACGGGCAACATGAATCCGAAAGCGGGGCGACATGCACAAAGGACAAAAAATATGGCGGTGCATCTTTCCATGTTCTGGCGAAAGATTCATTCATACGTTGGGTGGTGGAGAGCGAAGGGCCGATGGATCAGGTAAGCACATAACGTATCTCCGGAACCTTTCTTTTTTTTTTTTGGAGAATCTCTGAACAAATGAGACTGAATCCTCCGCTTGAACATGGAAAGATACATTGCCATATATGTCTTGTTGTGCATGTCGACAGTAGTGCAGCGAGCCCGTTGGTGAACATTACCGTTGAGGTTCTGACAGGTTGGACGCGCCAGGCTTCACTCTTGCAAAGAAATTCTGATGTTCTTCCTTTACCTTTTTTTCTTTTTATTAAAAAAAAAAAAATCCAGGAAAAACGGCTGTCAGTTCCGTCGTTTTCTACTTCAGAAGTAATACTTCGAGAGATTGCGACCTTCATCATGACTGAATCTGGCCTGCAAGAACCCCCATACAGACTGCAATTACCGTTGAGGTTCTGACAGGTTGGACGTGCCGGGCAACACTCGTGCAAAGAAATTATGATGATCTTCCTTTACGTTTTTTTTTTTTTATTAAAAAAAAAACATTCCAGGAAAAACGGCTGTCAGTTCCGTCGTTTTCTACTTCAGAAGTAATAAGAAGAGAACGTTTTGAGAAATCGCGACCCTCATCATGACTRAATCTGGCCTGCAAGAACCCTACCATACAGACTGCAATAACCCTACCATACACACAGAGTGTTACCCGAACTACAGGTTACTAGAAGCTTTCAGGCCAACGCGCGGCCTCCAAAAAAAATTTGGCTGCCCGTTTCTTATTTTACGCGAGCAGGGGGCCAGGTGCACTACCGCCCCTCACAAGTTTTTTTTTTTTTTTTGACCCCCATTTTTGGAGGTGCGCCGCATGCAGTGCGCGCGCATCGTGTGGGATGCGCGGAGCGGCGCACGTGCGCAGTGCAGCGCATCACGATGTGCCACAAGTATGGTAATAAGCCATGCCTTGCAACGAAAGCCATGATGGACACAGAAGTCCTCACGTGAAATGAAGCACACGAGCATTGCGGAAAGCTCATCCAGACACAGAAAATTTTGGCAAGCAAGCACTTCGCATTAGATGACATGGTACAAACTTATCGTCATGTCAAACGCATGCTGTGAAATGAGAGAACCCTGAGTGAGAAAGAACGAAAGGACCACATTCGGTAACAGTGAGGACGAAAAGGAACAGAGAGCGATGGGAAGGATCACCTTTGATCCCTCTATGGATTTGTGCTCTTCTTGAGAGTGAACATGTGAAGACGACTCATCTCATCAGTAAAGGATGATGATTTTTGGTCTGCATCAGCACTTCTCTGAAATGACATGGCCAACAGAAGAGGATAAGAGACAGGTGGAACAGTAGCTGTAGTAGAAGAGGGGGTTTGCATTGCGGATTCTGACTGTTCTCGGCAAGCGCAGTCGAACCCTGCTTTCGAAAAAAATATTTATTGGGCCAATTTTGAGCCCAACCGTAAGTCCTGTTGGAGGACCTGGGTCGATCTGGCCCGGTTGCATCCGGGCCGGTCCAACCCCACAAATGGTTAACGGGGACCTCCATTTTCAGCTCCTGACTAATGGGACCAAAACTGAAATTAGGGTTTGGGGGTCAAATTTTTGGTTTTTTGGTTTTTTGTTTTTTTGCCTGTTTTTGTTTTGGTTTAAGGTTGCTGTCTGCCAAATTTGGTATTATTTGGGTWATTAGAATTTGTGCTGTTGGGAGGCCTGAAAATCCTGAAATTTGGATGACGTGTTTCATGCCAAAATTGCCTGAAAATGCACTTTTGGGTTGCTGTTTTATGTGTTTTTAATTTTTATTTTTTTTATTTTTTTTTATTTTTTTTTATAAATATGTTAGTAAGAAGTGCACTCTATACATTGGTGTGGAGTTTGCTTGAAATGCCCTTATGGTTTTCTTATAAATTGACCTGAAAAATGGGGGGTCGGTTAACCTTCTCTCGTCCAACCGGCCGATTGCCGGCCCAGCACTGCTTCAAACCCCTTTAGCCCCTTTAAACTTTAAACTTTAAAGCCAATTTATACCCCACTTGCACCCCCTTGACAGCCAACAATCAAAAAAAGAAAAGAGCCCGGATTGGGCTCCTCTGCAAGTGTGCAGAAGACCCCCGTCGCCCAAAAGCAAAACAAAAAAAAAAAGAACCCACACTTTTTCACTTGCCCGGGTACACCGGGCGTCTTGCCCAGTTGCCCGGGCGGGCAGAAAAAACAACCTAGGGTGAAAGGACTGTGGGGACTGCAAGTGCAGCAGCAGGAAAAGGCAGAGAGAAGGAGAGCAACAATGGGAGAAATGATACCTGCACTACAAGGGCAGTCAATGGCAAGGGAGGGTCACAGGAGTGCGCACGGTCTGCAAGGAAACCACTCATCCGCTTGTATTCCTCAGAGAGCTCCTTTTCATCAATGCCCTTGGGACAGCACTGCACAACGAGCATGACCTGCACAGACACTACGCTCCATCAGAAGCCATCAGGCATCTGCATTTCCCATTCATACTACCAATCTGACACCAGGCCTTTCCCCCCCCCCCCGAAAAACTTGTTCCAATCTATTTGTGGGGAGCGGCACGTGCTGGGAACCGGGCCCAGAGTCCCATATTAAAGAAGTTAAAGAGATGCTACAGAACATATCATGTTACCAGGGCCATTACCCGGCTTCGGCTAGAGAAAACAGGGATTCGAGAATTGACTGATCACTCACTCAAGAGGTACTGCGGTACTGCAAGAGATTTAAGTGGGGGATGAAGGCTGCCTCTTCAGCTTCAATGAGGCCGCCAGATGTCCACATTCATTGCCCAAACACCATTACTCCCCATACCAGTAAAGGTCCAATTTGACACCAGTCTTAGTTTGTCTTCATCTACAGTGTTTTGCTTTGCATGGAGGAACTCCCTTTCCTTTTGTGTGTGTTTAACTGTGTTAGACTGGGTGAGGACGGCGCCCGGCCGGGCGTCCCCGGGGGGGGCGCCCGGGCAAACCGGGCGGGCCGAAAAACACCCGAGAATTTTTTTTATTTTTTTTCTGAAGGTGAGGTCTTTCTGCGCTCGGCGAGAGGACCCCGAATCTGCAATAAAATTTTGGGTTTGGGGGGGGCTCCATGCATGTTGCCTGCTGAATGCTGAATGCAGGTCATCTGATATGTGCAGTGTTGGGGGCTCTGCATGTTTGTTGCCTGCTGCTGTGATGTCTGCTGCATGCATGTTGATGACACTTAGACTGACATCGATTGAAGAAGACCGACGAGAAGAACAAGAAGACGAACACTGAAGAGAAGAAGAAGAAGAAGAAGAAGAAGAAGAAGAAGAAGAAGAAGAAGAAGAAGAACTTGGAGGAAATCTTCGAGTTCTTAAGCAGCATATCAGCTGCATATGGCCAATATCGATCCACATTCTCTCTCTCTCTCTCTCTCTCTCTCAGAAGAAGAAGAAGAAGAAGAAGAAGAAGAAGAAGAAGAAGAAGAAGAAGAAGAAGAAGGAAGGAGGAGGAGGGTGGAGGAGAAAGAAGAAGGATGAAGGAGGAGGAGGAAGGGATGGATGGCGAGATGGGATGGAGGGATGGATGGCGAAAAATATGAAGATCGCCGTTAACTGCCGAAGGTGGAGTGATGCAAGAAGAAGAAGAAGAAGAAGAAGAAGAAGAAGAAGAAGAGGAGAGTAGAAGACCTAACGAATGGAAAAGAAGAAGAAGAAGAAGAAGAAGAGGGTGAGGAGGGTAAGAAGAAGAAGAAGAGGGTGAGGAGGGTAAGAAGAAGAAGACGAGAGGACGGCGAGAAGAGGAGGAGGAGAATAAGAAGATGAGCGTAGAAGGAGGGGGAGAAGGACAGCCTTTTTTTTTTTTTTTTTTTACCTGTCGTGTATCACGTGACCTACCGAATGTCGACGAAATGAAAGAAGAAGAAGAAGAAGAAGAAGGAGAAGAAGAAGGAGAAGAAGAAGAAGAAGATGATGAGGAGGAGAAAGGAAACGAGAAGAAGTAGAAAAAGAAGATCAAGAAAGGTCGGGGAGAAAGATGAAAACGCGAGGGGGAGGAGGGTAGAGAAGAAGAAGATGAGAGGACGACGAGAAGAGGAGGAGGAGAAGAAGAAGACAAGCGGAGAAGGAGGGGGAGAAGGACGGCCTTTTTTTTTTTTTCTCACCTGTCGTGTCTCACGTGACTGGCCGAATGTCGACGAACTAAAAGAAGAAGAAGAAGAAGAAGAAGGAGGAGGAGGAGGAGAAGAGGGAGAAGAAGAAGAAGAAGAAAATGAAGAAGAAGAAAAGGAGGAGAAAGAAAACGAGTGGGGGCCGAGGGGAAGACGAAGGGTAGACGAAGAAGACGAGAAGAGGAGGAGGAGAGAAGAAGAAGAAGAAGTCGTTAACTGCAACAGTTACCCTAGCAGCAGGGCCTTCGTCTGCCCGCCCAACACAACCCTAGACGATCATGACAGGAAGAAGAAGAAGAAGAAGAAGAAGAAGAAGAAGAACGGCGCGTTCGTCGTCGGGGTCTTCGTTGTAGCAGCAGCAGCAAGGCAGTCGGGGCCTTCGTCGTAGCAGGACAGTCGGCCCCGTCGTCGTAGCAGCAGCAGCAGACAGTCGGCGCCTTCGTCGTAGCAGATGGAGCAGTAGTCGATGGCGATGTCGGCTGCCGACGGGCGACGCGCGACAACGCAGCAGGACGGCGGGGGAGAAAGTTCGATCGTGCTGGGGGGCGAGTGGCAGACCACCCCAGCCGATCCCATGTTTGAAAGCGGGCGGGGAAGTTTCGCGCCTAGATCAACCGGCTCTGTGGCCGTTGATCATGGCGAATCTACGGCCAGATAGCACAAAAAAAAAAATTGGCCTCCCGCAGGCCTACCGGGCCCGACGGGTCGGTTTTTCGGGCCGGTCGGACCCGGTAGGCCTGCGGGAGGCCTGCGGGAGGCCAAAAGAGGCGAAACGGGGGTCCGAAACCCCCAAACAGGTCAGTGCGCTGGGGGGGGCCGGGCCCCAACCTGGTGCCCTGCCCGGCCAGGCCGCCCGGGGCCTCCCCCGGGCCTCCTCCCGTCAGCCGGGCGGCCCGGAACCCTACACAGGTGTTAGATATAAGTACGATTGACTTTTTTTTTTTTTTTTTTTTTTCTCCCAAACAGAACCTCAGGGTTCCGTCTCCTTTTCCATTCTCGGGAGCATCAGTCCGATTCCGATTCCACCGGCAAGTCAGGAAGGATTACAATAAGTACTCACTCACGCTCCTCCC